TATTTGCGTGCGCTATCGAAATAAAAAATTTGCTTCATTTTAAGCAAGATTCTACTTGGCAATTTTATAGTTATTGTTTTGTGATACCAATAGCAGTCAACAGGTTAAGGTGTTTTCAACATCGATTGTATACAGGCACACTGAATTTCTATCTCAAACTAATTCGAAAAAGGATGGAAAAAATAGTTATTCAACTTGAAAATGTAGCCAGACAACAGCACCCCCATCATTTTATTCTGAGCAATCAGAAGATTATCTATGATTTGAAATTATCAATGCGCACTTTCACTTCGATTTTTCGAATGACACATTTAATCAACGAAATGTTTGGATTTTCTTTATTGATAACTTTTCTTGAGAATTTCGTTCGATTGCTTTCAAATGCGTTTTGGATTTATTCAAACTTATATTATGAACATTTCGAAAATGTACCAGATATGATACTCATGGTGATTCCAACAATCGCTCTTATCATCATACTATTGGAGTCGTGTGAAAATTCGTCAAAAGAGGTATTTGCGAATTTTGTAAGAGAATTATGTATATCTTTCTAATTATTATAAATTCAATTGAATCAAGGTGAATTTGTTGGCATTTTTGATAACCAGCCTTGAATTAAATGGAAAATATACAAAATTATTCGATGTATTGGTAAATAAATTGTTCATGTGCACATTGTTAAGAGATTTCATGTTCTTCATTAATTATTTGTATTACAGTTTCAAAGTTTTTCACTTCAATTGATGCACGAGTCAATGGTATTCTCCGTGGCTGGTATTTTTCGGCTTAATTTCACTTTGCTTCGAGCAGTAAGTAGAGGATTTTCAGCATAAACACCAAACATTCATTAATACATTTTTCATTTTAGATCATTGCTGGTATCACCACAAATATGGTGATTTTCATTCAATTCATGCCAGGATACGTCGAAACCCGTCCTTTTAAAACTACACAATGCAATAAAGATAATGGATTCTAATAGAAAATAAAACAAAATTAAATTAATTGGATTGACATTTAAAGCATTTCTAATTTAATTATTGGATATTCTTAGCCAAACATTTCCACAGCCGATAAATCGATGAAATTTTCAGCGGCCACTCAAAAAACCCTAGTAAATCAAGACATTTGTTGTCGCGAAAAACCTTTTTGGCAAAAAACCCTAGCAAATCGAAAGAATTTATTAATTTAACGATATGAAAGGTCATTTTCAATTTGCAAAGTTTATGACTGATGATCGACTTTAGAAATTTTGTGGACGAATTGCAAGGAGAAGAGACATATATGTTGTTATCACGAAAACCACCTAAAAAATAGATAAATCAATAGTTCATTTTTGGTGGTATTTAATTAAAAAACACTTGATATCGACTGGTTTTTCCTCCTTCAAAACTATTTTTTTCTAATGAAAACTACGTACCCGAATGTAAATCTTTTTATCCAAGTCGAAAAAGTTCATGACAGAAAAACGAAATGGACATAGTTGTATTGTGTATGCAATTTTTCGTATCTAAAATTGAAAAACACATTTTTAATAGAAAAAAATGTTTAATAAATACTCCATTTTAAACGCATACTATTCTATACAGAGCCTCATCGGAAAGTTTTTTCATAAAAATTGACTTAATGATTCGTTTTATGATAGCGGTCCAGCATTCAACTTCCGGCACCAATAACACAAACCCCATGAATAGTGGAAAGACCAGCGCATGTGCCTCTGTTAATTAAATAAACACCAATTTACCATTTGTAAAAACATTTTGTGTTCATACTTACGCCACAACGACTTGAACCGATTGAATCGAATTCTCATAAATATCCAATAAATGCTAATGGAAATCGAACAGAAATAAATGGTCATCACCGCTAAAATGGTCCAATTGAAACGTTCGTTTATGTGTCGGCTGATTTTCCAAAGGCGACCATAAAAAGATTTTAATTTTATCAACTCAGTCGTTATGTCGTTCAAATGAATCTTATGTGAGTATTTTTGTGATTTTTGTATATTTTGATGTATCTCATTTTGTATGAATTGTAGACGATCTCTTATCTTCATGTGGGAAAAAAAGTATAAAAAGCAGTTTTGTTAATTGAAATTTTTGATGATATTCACCCAAAAAAAGTGAAAAACTGTGTAAATCAGTCCAAAACGAATCATATTCGCTGTGAATTCACGAACACATATACTTTGTCGCCATATTCTATCTTTATCGGGTATGGTAAGTATAACAGCCATATCAAATCCAAATGCCACGAGAAGAAAACAAAATGATCTATTAAGCAAAAATGGTTTCAGAGATCTTCGTCGATAAAATGAACAGTTGTGCGGATTTCGACATGTATGTTTCTCAAATATTTCCTGATCGAATGCTTCAATGGATCTAATTATATTTTGGTCAAGACTTCCTTTTAGAAGGTTCTCGGAAATTTGAATGATCCCAGCAAAGAGCAAACCATGCACTTGCACAATATCAGTGAACGCGCCCAGTTTTGAGCCGCGATGCAAGAATTGTCGCGGATATAGGAATACAATGTATCCTTCAAGGAAAATTATTATTAATTGGATCAAAGATGGTACAAATAATAAAAAATTAAAAACTCGCAAATTTCTACGAAAATGCGTTGACGGACATGCCATCCCAATCCAAACAAAAAAGTGGCAAATTGACTTGAATTCATTTTTTAGATACATTATTGAAATCACGAGCTTACTGAATTCGAACTGAAAGTGTGTTCTTCTGAAAGTACACTGATTGGTTAAAATGAAGTTAATGAGCTAATTACTAGGATAATCAGTTATGATTACAATCAAAATCACTTTTCAACTTATTTACGCACATTGCGCTTTTGATTTGTAACATAGATATGTCATAATATGAAACAGACAACTAATAAACATCAAATAATATTGTAAATCAAATAAAAACCGAACATAATCATTTATAATTACCAGGACTGAATGTGTTCGATGCTATCACTCCAGAAAATGAGTATTTATGTTAAAATATGATGTAATTAATGTTTTGGAGTAAGTGTAAGAGTGGATGTTCAAGTGTAGTGACAATGAAAGCATTCAAATTTGATTTAACGGCAAGTCCAATTCGAGTAGATCGAAATTCAACTGGAGCAAAAGTTTTTCAATGAGCTAAAACTATCAATGCGCATATTCAATTCGATTTTTCAATTGACACACTTAATCAACAAAATGTTTGAATGCTCTTTATTGGTGAGTTTTCTTGAGAATTTTATTCGTTTGCTCACTGTCTTCTTTTGGGTTTATTCAAAATATTACTACCACGATTTGGACAATGTATACGGTATGTATAAATTGGTAACACAATTATGATTCAAATTCTTATGATCAAACTCTTTTAGATATTGTACTCGTATCAATTGCACCCATTTTTGTCGTCATCATGTTATTGGCGTCATGTGAAAATTGTGCAAATGAGGTAAACTATTTGATTTTGCGAGTTCTTTTGTAATTTGAAATGAATCATTTCTACAAATTTTATTTCATTTGTTACTTCAATTAAGGTTGGGGCTCTGAAATTTTTGGTAACGAATCTTGAATGTAACGCCAAATTCGAAAGAATTTTTGATTCATTAGTAAGTAAATACATTTGATTCATTTCGTTTTTATTTCATTTAAATGTTATATTTCAGATTGAAAACTTTTCACTTCAGTTGATGCACGAGCCGATTATATTTTCCGTGGCTGGCATTTTTCCATTAAATTTTACTCTATTGCGAGCAGTAAGTACAAGATTTTTACCTTCAAACTTTCCAGCTCTATTCAATTTATATATATCATTTTAGATGGTGGCTGGTATTACCACAAATATGGTTATTTTCATTCAATTCATGCCTAGGCTGTGCTTTAATAGGCCATTGGATCACACGATAGATGGTTACCATTGATCAGTGTTTACAATTATTATTCTAAGACCAAAAAAATGTTAATTTTAACACCAAAAATATTTAATTAACAGCAACATAAAATTAGTTAGTCATTAACACAGCCATATATTCGAATATTGATCGTATTGTCACCTTCCAACCGTTTTTTTCGATTACAAACATTCTACGTACACCGACTTTCCCAAAGAAATAAATAAAAATAAAAATATACCAAATATTAGATAGATTCAACACCATCTAAAACCGTTTTTTTTTCATCTTTTTTCTTTTAAATATTTCATCATTTCAGTGTTGTAGAAAAAAGGTGATTTCACGAGGTTAAATATTTAAACTGATTAGTGATTACAGTTAAAGTACTGTAAAGCATAGTATATGTGCGAGAAATACAATGAAGCTGATCGGTGATCAGTGTACTTATAATCTGAAATGCATGCCTTAACAGTTTGTGTTTGATACTGGACGGATCCAGAATCAATATGAGATGAGCTACGCAAATTAGTTGTCTTATAACATCTAAATTGTTTTCAAGTGTTGAGCGTTCTAATTACAGTTAACAAAAGAATGTCTGGTGTTTTGTTCATTGTTACAATTCCAACGCAACAGGA